AGAAAATTTGTTGTCTGCACATCTCATCATTTTCGACATGACAGAATAAATGTGTCTTGACAGTAATGTACCTCTATGTATTGTTGATTGTTTTGAAGACTATCATACGAAAATGAACGATTAATGCCTGATTGATACAGAAATAAAATGTCTTTCAAAAATTTAATGAACACCATATTGAAACGGTCTCGTATAAGAATCTACATTTTCACAGAAAAAAGCCGGGATCCAAAGGATTAAAATTTTTCTCTAAAATGCATAAAAGAGAACATGATTAGGTTTACATTGTGTATAGAATGTGAGACTTTTTATCTACATTCAGGAAGTCACTTAAACCTATCCCATCTACTAAAAAGTCTCTTTTCAATTATCTTCTCACTGAAAATCTTCTTCTGAACACATTGACTTACTCGTCATGTCAAGATACAGATGAAGTGATGATGCGTTTCGAGTAGCTGGATCTGTCTGAAGGTCTATTAATCTTTAAAATAAAACAAAAGTCAATTAAAATTCAATATAAACTAAAACTAATGCAAACTTATTTTTGACTGCTTGTGTAAAATAATCTTGAATAGCAATTACACCCCAGTACTGTCCTTGTTTAACAAGATCCATTGCTTTATTAAAACCATTAAATGATGTCTTTCATTTTCAAATCAAAATCAATTTTAATCAAAAATAATTAACAAACTGTTCCAACATACAATGTCAATTTGTTGAGGATTTATTTTATTTAAAAGCTGTAAACTTAAATTTTCTGTTGGAAATCCATGTACTGCTTCACCATTATAAAGTGCCATTGAAATATGTTCAGCATTACCTAAATATCATATATGCAATAATATATAATTAATGAAATTTCACATTAACTTACGACCAATACAAAGACAAAAAAGTGAAATTTGAATAACAGGAATTAGAAATTGAAATATCAACAAACTAAAAAAATAAGCCAACACTCATCACTAAACCAAATACTAGAAGAAAAAACAACTAACTTTACCTAATATTTCGTTTAACCAATGTTAAATCTTTCATTATTAATGCATAAATTTTATGTATATGAGGAAATTTAAAATAATCAATAACTATTTGTTTTGCACATATAGATTAAACATTAATAAATATATCGAATTTTTCTATCTATTTTCGACCTAAACTTACAATTTTTTCTTGAGGTTTGTTTTCTGTTAACTGTTATCAGAAGACTTTCGACAGCTGTATCAGCAACATAAGTTGATTCTAAATTTTGTTCGTTAATATTATTGGATACATCGGTGTCGCAATCGTCATCAATATTATTCATTGTAGTTTGTTGTCGAATACAATTTTGATCTTCATAACATAATCGAAGAAAAACATTTTCTAAACTCTAAAACAAAAATCATGTGATTTAATTGAATGAGTTTTTAATAGAATTCTAGACAAACAATTTCATTATATTGATTTAAAAGATGAATTGGTTCATCTTCAGCTAACATTCTTCCACTTCGCATAAGTCCAACC